TTTCACAAACAATTTCACTTGTTCCATTTTCACGAATTCTTTCTCATTTGGTCCGCTGAAAAATACTTGCAGCAACAACATCAACATCAACATCAGCAGCAGCACCAACATGAACAACAACAACAAATTCGGTTGATTCGGCATCAGTTTTGTTGTAGCAGCAACTTCACAGCATCAACAATAATTTTTGCAACATCATAAGGCCTGGAAATTCTTCAAAATCCAGTGTAGGACCACGTCGAATTAATCCATAACCAAAACATCAACCATGGCATCAAATCTGACTCTTGCCATTGCTCAATAAAATTCTCTTCGCAACACTTCTTCTTTTTGGATTTTTCAAAAAAAAAATCTTTTCAAATTATTTTCATTCTCCAATATTCACCACAAATATTCCAAACACCATAAATATATTGAAGAATTTATTAATCACCAATGTATGAAAAATCAAGTAGGGTACGAATGCATACCCAATTGACGTCCAAACTTTTCAAAACGATTTGCATCCAACGCCTTTGTAAGAATGTTTGTCTTTTGATTTTACTTGGGCATCCACACCAATCTGACTTTAACATTTTGTCTGAGTTCTTCAGTAGGCCACTGAATATTTCTGCCATTCATAATGTCCTTCGCCAATCTGAAACATTTTTCAGCTGTATGTCCAAGACATCTGCAGTATCCGCAGTCTTTACGTCGTGATGACATTTGTCTAACACCCTGTATCCTACGATTTTCATTCCAATCTCTGTTTTTGTTCTTCTTCAAATTATGCTTCACCATCAGAACTGATTTGTTCTCTGGAATTTCAACATCAGCAAGAAGTCCATCCCGGACAAATGTAGTAGGTTTTCTGTGTGAGGACTCACAAAAACTTATTCCCTTGTGATCACCAAAAGGTTTTCCAATCGAAAGTACTTCATCCAATTTCTCCTTTCTCTTTCAAAGTCTATCATTCTCTTGTTTCAGCTGCACATTTTCAGTCTTTAATCTATCAACTTCAGTTGATTTCTCATGAACATCTTTCTTCAAAATTTCAATTTCATCATCCAACTTTTCCTTTTGAGCTTCTAACCGGTAAATGGTGTCCAAAAGTTCTTTATTTTTTACCAGTGATTTCTTTTGTTCTGCCACCATCTCCTCATAGGCTTCAATCAATTCATCAGCATCAAGTTCTATGGATTCCTCTTAAGCTTTATCAGTAGAAGCACCATCATCTTTAATAGCTTCAGATTCATCGGCCATGAAAGCAACCAATTCATCATTTTCTGAGTTTTCTTCGCCTCCAACAGACCTTTCATCATCATTGTCACTCCATGTGGCTTGGTATGATTTCTTCTCTCTTTTCTTCACCGTTGGACATTCAGATTTAATGTGACCAACTCCTCCACATCCATAGCAGGTAGGCTCTTGTACTGATTCAGGCAACTTCTTCTTGAATCCACCATCGAACTTCTCTTTTGGCTTGCTGTAATTTGATGTTTTCTGTTCAGAGTATTTCCATTGTGAGCTAGAAATACTCACATCCTGATAACCACTTCTGTTCTGGAACTTCCTATACTTCAGCTTGGCTGCTCGATTCTCACTTATCATTCTTGAAAGTTTTCGACTCCACATAGTTATTTCCTCATCAGATTCGATCAGCTCCATGTCTTCCACACTTAAGGCCATACTTTTTGGAGTTTCATCTTCGAGATAATTCATTTCATCACCAAAGTGCCGTATAATTCATCCAACGTCATATTTTTCAGCTTTGGTGGTTCATCAAGCATAATCACCTTTGGCCTGAAATTTTTTGTGAGACTTTTAAGCATCTTCCTCGCCAGCCTCTTTTCTTTAAAGTGCATTCCAAGAGCTTCTGCTTGATTGACAACATTCATAAAACGATTATAGTAAACAACGATTGTTTTGTAGTCATTCATCTTCATTCCTTCAAACAATGTCTCCACATCATTTAATTTAGATTCTCGGACTTGCGCTGAACCTTCGAATGCATTTTCTAGAATATCTTAAGCTTCCTTGGCAATTTTTCAGTTTGATATAAGCTTCGCCTGAGTTTCATCCACAACATTAAAAATCGAAAATAGGGCCTTCGAGTTTCCTATTCCAGCAGCTTTTTCATTCAACGTCCATTCTCTCTTCGGTTTCTTTACAAGAGTAGTAACACCATCTTCATCTTGGATGGTTTTCATAGGATGAGACCATGCACACTCAACAGCATCAGAAACGTTTTCACCTTGAAGCATCAGAAAGGCTTTCATTTTGTTCTTCCAACTTTGGTAATTTGTCCCATCGAACAATGGAGGTCTTGATGTTGAACGTCCTTCCTTACTCATGTCTGCAACTGTGACCAGATCTACTCAACGAATTAGAGAACACCGCTCTGATACCAGATATTGGGGAAGTGATTTATCGAACAAAACACATTCGAACACTTTAAAGGGCCAACTTCTAAAGCGTGGGCGGTTCACAATTATAAATACGTTTCAACAACAAAAAACAATGCCGAACATAAAACAACAATAAGACAAGGTGTTTGTTGACCCGGTTCAATTATCAACCAATCTACATCCGGGGGATTAATCCATGAGACATTCTACTAATCAGTGTTGATTACAGAGTATAAACAATCACAACTCCTTCAACTCAAACTCCTATTATGGTCTACCTTGGAAAATACCTCCACAGGTTCACGTTGTCACAAACGCGTACTAATAACGACCATATAGCAGAGCCGCTCAGAGTTTGATCATCCTCTCCGGTTGGAACTCCTTTAACTCCGATCACGTCGACCTCTCAGGCGAATTTTTCTGTAAAAAACTCATTCAAACTAAGGGGAATTGATATGGATAGAGCGTTGAGAGCTTCACTCAATATTCTTTTTTCTAAAGTATGATCTCCAAATCACTCATCACTAATCTTCAACCCTATTCGGTTGAGTAAATCACTCACATTCCTGAAATAAAAGATTCCATATTAATTCTCCTTTGCACCGAAATGGAAGGGGTGAGTTTCCATGTTTTGATCTTTCCTCAAATATGCCTTTTATCTTTCGGAAAGTCTTTGATGCATAAATTAAAACACTATTAGTTCATATGCCAAAATAACTTAAGGGAATTTCCATTCACAGTTGGCATAACACAAACTTATATTTCTGTAGTTAGATATGAGACTAACAAATACATGCATGCATGTATTGGTTCAATTCAAACATATGTCAATTATATTACGAATTTGTCTCGCTTCATTTGTGTCCGCGCGCGTATAATCTATTTGGAGAAATTATTTGAATAACGGGTAGACAACGAGGATGCCAAAATTCATGCACGAAAATATGGCGTTTGTTTCCAGCAACAAATTTTGAAGTTGTAGTAACCTTCACTACTAATGTTGTAAGCACAACACAATACATTAGCAAAATGCTAATTTTATTATACATAATTAATTATCTTATTAAGGTTGTTTTAGTCGCACGTATTAGTATGGTTTGTTGGCAATTGTATTCAGTTTGGCAGTTTAACCCGTAGTATATTAATTTTGTTTTAGCCATGGACATTTAAGAGAAAATTGCAAAAAATATCACACACTTATACCCTGTTATCACTTTTATCATATATTTATCGCGTTGGCAAAATATATCGCACATGTTTAAAAAATCGTTATTTATGTCATTTGTCCGCGCGTGACATTCACACCACGCGCGATTACGCGCGTCCAAATGATAGAAATAGAGACTTTTGCAAATATTTGAGATATATTTTGTCAGTGAGATAAATACAGAACAAAAGTGATAATGGAGTATACGTAAGATATATTTTTTGCAATTTTCCCTGGATATATCTATCTATATATTTATATATTGACATGGTTTGTAGGCTACTACTATATTTGATTCGGAGTTTTACCTAATACATACTCGAAAAGTAGCAAATTATTAATGTAGATTTACTTGTTATACATATTAAAAGAAAAAAACCCTAATTTTTAATTTATTACGTAACTTAATAACGTTATTTTAGTCACGCATATATATGTATAGGTACATACACGTTATTGGTGACTTGCTAATTTCATAAATAATAACAAGAAACTATATTTATAAACATATATTTTGATAATATAAAACTTTCAATTAATAACTTTGAATTATCTAATAAAATAATTTAGAGAAAATAATTTAATAACAATTCATTCTATGTCAACAATCTATAGCACATACAAATTATGATATACTCCCTCCGATTCACTAACAAATAATACATATTTTTATTTTAAATTATTCAATTACAAAGTAATTCTTTCTTTTTAGTAAGTATGAACCTTTTTTTTTAACAAATATTTATATTTTACTATCGTATCATTATTATACAAAAATAAAAAATAAAATTATCTTTACATTATTTTTTTAATTATTCACTAAAATAAACTACTATTACTTTTTAAAATTTGCAATAAAAAAGTACAATTATTTTTACATTACTTCATAATCTCAAAGTTGATACACTAATCAACGGAAATGGATCTCCACCCATCCCCTATCAATTGAATTATAACATTCGTTATTTCATAGTTTAAAATAGTATTATTTATTTATTATTACATAAAAGTACATCCCACAATTAGATTTCTTTTCTTATTTTTACAGTTGTTTCAAACTAAATTATAGGATTTTACCTTCGCATATGTGATGTATTATGTACATTTTTTATTACTTGTATTTTTATTTCTATTTTACAACTAATCTTAACTCATAACATTAATAGTGAAACACTAACCTACCTAATAAAAGTTTTTTTGGACACACTACCATGCTAAGTTAAATTGGCTCAAAGTATGTTAATATACTAAAAGTGATAACGATAGTATCTTCCACACCAAAATAACTTTGATAGGTTAATGTATGAGATATAATTCAGATTTTCCATGAAGTAAAAGAATCAAGTCTGTCATAATAAAGATAAAACGTTGGAAGAATTTTAAAAGAGTTATCAATGTCTAAACAATATAAAACTTACGCATCATAATTGTAAATCGATGATAGTTTGGCATCCGTCTAGTTTATTGTATGATAAATGAGTTCGCAGAATCTTTCATTATAAATCTCCAACTTATCCTCGAATATCATTGCCACGAATAATAGTAACATGGACGGCTAGTTCTTCTTCTCCCTCCACGAGCTCACAAATGCATCTGTCATCTTTTTGTATATAGTTTAAGGTGCATAGCTTTCTCCATCCTCCTGATATTGCGACCCTTCCATCCTTCCATTTTTTACATTTTGCCACTATTCTCCTTCCTGTTTGATCGATGAAATATGCCTTTTTCGAAAAATCTATATCATCGTTATCTTTCACTACATCTTTGGGAACAAACTGAGACAAGAAAATAAAATTGTTATGTATACAACAATGTAGAGTATTGACACAATAATTTAAACACAATATTGCTTTATGTACTAAAATATAGGTAAAGATGAACACTTCAAAACAAAACAAACCAAGCAACAATATATTATTATTCACAAACAATAAATAACTAACTTCTTACATAAAATAAACACATAAATGAGAAAAAAACATCAAAACCAAAATGAAATAAAAACACAAGAAAAATAAATAGTTTATTTTTTAATCTAAAAAAAATGCCATTTTTTTTATAAAAATATACTATTTATTTTGGAAAATTATTTAAAAATATTAAAAATACTTTATCCAAACAATATTATAATATCTCGAAACATTTTATTAATTTTCAATAAATAACAATAACAAAAAATATATATATCATTATTCCTAACAAACTAAAACAACACAACCAATTCACTTTCGAATTAGTAGTATATCATGTTCTATATATGTATATATATAGATGCACCATTGTTCCACAAAGTGTATAGTTAGGTATGACTCCCCCACCTAGTTCTTCCCAATGAGATTTATAATTAAAAACATTGTAGCTAATAATCAAACAAAATGCCTATAAACTACAAAAGTATTTTCTTACATAAGAAATTGTTTCAAATATCAAATCTTACCAAATTGCCCTTTCGTTTATCCATTATTCCTGTGACAAAGTAAGGATTTTGAGGTTGTGGAGCTAGACCAGCCCTGAAAATGTCTATTCCGTAACGCAGCGAAAGCAGGTCCGTCGATCTTCTTTGTGAATCTTGTTGATCTCTTGTTCTAACTGTTCTTTCTAAAGTCTCACCATCAGCATCATCTATGAAATAAACCACCATTAACCATGAAATTGTCATTTCAGTATAATAAACATGGAGACTTCTCATATTCCAAAACATAATGTAAATACAATATATGTGTCATATTATTAATCTACATGTCATGAAGAAATCGATAAATTTAATCATAATGAAGTCTATCTAACTTGAAAAAAAAAACAAAAAAACAAAACAAAAACTATGCAAAAAATATTTCTATTTAGTAAATTATATTCCAAGAGACCCTTTATAAAGCAAATCAAACAAAAACTCGAATCAACTATTTGTAGTTATAAGAAAAAATGTTTTAAAATATCCATGTTTATTATGTGGAATACGTACTAGTATTCAATCGCTAAATATTTGGGGGAGGGGGGAAAGAGTTTTGCGTACCCATGTTTTGAACATCAGTATCTTCAGTTGGTTCATGATTTTCTTCGGTCCTTTCATCATTATCAATAGCCAGAGATTCATCAGTCACTTCAACATCATCGCTAGTCTCATATTCATCGCTAGCCTCATATTCATCGTTGTCTTCATCGACTTCTTTGGCTTCCTCGACCATTTGAACATTATCTTCTTCATTGTCTTCATTATCTTTGTCGGTCATTTCAATACTATCTGCGGGCACATGTTCCTTGGCCACTTCATTAACTTCATGACCTTCTTCACTCACTTGAGCATTATCTTCCCGCACACAAGCACCCTTCTTGGTTTGCTCGTGAACTCTTGCTGCCTCATCTTCATCATAAAAATAATGATCCCAATTTGCGTAATAATCCTCTTCTTCATCAATATTGTTCGAATTTCTTACAGTCTTTTTATTGTCACATTCATCAGCAGTCTTATTGTCCTTACCAGTAGTCTCCCATAAATCTTTTTCTATAACCTTTTCCATCCCAGCAGGGTCGAATACCTTCACATCGAAAAACCCTCTAATAAAATATTCAAACAACAAAAAGTCTCCCTCCTCAATCTTCATGTCCTTTACAAATTTACTCCATCCTTTCGCCAAACACCACTTATCCTCATCGTTTTGCACAGATGCAATCCATGGCATGTTGTAGTGACCAAGTAAATATACTGCCTTCGCCAATGGTTGATCCAATTGTTTAATAAATTCATTCGGAATGCTCTGTTGCAAGATATATATGTTCCATGTTAGAGTATGCAATCAATCAAGACTCCATATAACACATACTCCATAACATAAGAGCATATGATATATTTAAAATGTGTATTATTTGGACTCTTAATTGTTGTTTTCTGAACTTTTGAATTGATCTTATTTGAAAAACTCAATATCATGCTAATTTTTCTAAATTAGCACCGTAACCGAACCGGAGAGATATATAGGCGAAGAAATAAGGGTTTTCTGGATCCTTTTACCAAAACTATATTCACAATTCCAAATCAAACTTACATTTTCTTACAAAGAAATTGTCTTAAATGTCTTTGCATTTGAAAGAAAGTGAACAAAAAAATGAACATAATTCTTGCAATTGAAAAAAAAAAGAACGAAATAGGGAAAAAAAACAAAAAAAAATGAGAAAAAGAAAAAATGTTTGAGAATCTAGAAAGTTCGTTCTTAGAAACGACGCCGTAAAAATTGTTATGTTAAAGATTAAATTTTATGACGAGAATAACAAACACAAAATCACATCAACTTGTATAAGATGTACAAAAATCGCAAAATAATACATTGAAAAACAAGAACCAACCTGTCAAATGCCAAAATTCATGTTTCATCCGAAATTATTTAGAGGTATAAGTTGAATCTCAAATTCATAGATCTAAAGATTACTGACAACAAAAAAAATACAAAATTGATGGCGAAATCAATGAACAAGAAACCACACTCCCTTTCTGCAAGTTTTGAAAAGATACCAAATAATACACAAAGAATAAAAGAATGTTTAACTTCACCAACCAAAAAAACGCCAGAACTCAAACTTCATTCGTCATATCTCTAGATGCGTAGTTGGATCTTAGACTTATAGATCTAAAGCTCATTTGCAATAGAAAAACAAGATTGAATGAAATAAAGTGGAAAATAAACATACCACTTTGCTATAGTTGATTTTCTTAAAATAAAATGTGAAAAAGGCAGGGCACTTCATTTTGATCCGCATAAACCGAGTTTTGATAGATCCACGGGAAGAACAGTAAAGAACATCCAAGACCTGCAAGTAAATAGAAGGAAACTCAAATCTCCTTAGACCAAAGGCAATTAAAATTTGTGACGATATCAAGAAATATATAGTATAGATCTCATTTTTCCAAGTGTGAACGTTGCTTATATATAATAAATCAGAAAACAGCTAATTATATATAAAGGGGAAAAAAATTTACTTTTAATCGATAAGACCGATGTTAGTTTTTTAAGGAAAAAATTATTTATTACAAAAAATTCATGCATTTTATTTAAAAAGTAAATGCAAGTCCAACAATTAATAATACCCGAGTAATAATTCACATAAAGCATAATTATAAACTTATATTAAAAAAAATTACTAGTTACCAATTATTATTTTCATTATAGATAATTATGGTTGTATATATATGTATGTATATCTGTATGTATAATTAAACATGGATGTGGCTAGGTGATGTGTTTGTTTCTCTAAATTTTTTATTTTTACAAAAAATATTGTATGGGTGTTGGAAAATAATAGTAGCATATAATACGAGATAATAAATTAAATAACAATATATAATACAATAAAATATTCAAGAAACCGAGTAGAGTGATGGTTTTCCAAACTTGATGACATACTATAAGAGTGTAAAATGAGGAATAAAGCCAAGTCGATGATATGCCCGCGAGACAAACTACGCCTTTGTAGTGGTTCCGGTGATGAAGTTTTATCCCCAAAAGTAAAATGGCTTTCACTATTTCTGCCTCATTTTGTTCTAATATTTTAATATGTTTCACCTATGGACCATATATGTAGCTTCATAAGTATTTACTTTGAAGTGACCGACACTTCACACTTACATAAGTATTCATATCTTTAAGCATTCGACTCATACTTCCACATTATTAAGAGTCATTGACTCAACTTTAACACTTTTGCACTTCTTAAGACTCGTTGAATTTCAAGGAATGGTGATGGAGTATTTGTGCCGAACTTTTATAGCTCAGTTTTCCTATTCAACCATTTGAGATCTCCAAGTGCTTTGATTGGATTACCACTGTAATTGTCTATAACTTGTATATTTCAAGTCCATTGATTTTAGTCATTTGTACGTATTATCTCTCTATAATCTTTTGGTTAGTGGATCTTCTAAATTTTCTATTGATTGTACATAGTCAATTATTAAAACCATACTCGTGATCAAATGTCTTGCATAATTGTGCCTACATCGGATATGTCAAGATATATCATTGTAATTTATGTTCTTAGCCTAAGCTATCGCAACTTGACTATCACAGTAAATCATCACTAGAGTCTTGGTTTAGACCAATATGAAATAACATCCAAGAATTTTTTAATTCATTTGACTTCTTCAAAATCTTTATCCAAAGAGATAAACTTTGATTCCATAGTGGATCGTCTAATACACGTTTGTTTTGTGAATTTTCACAAATCAGATACATATCCGTTCATAGACAATGAGTCTTTCATATTCAATATTCAATTAGCATCATTGTAGCCTTAATGTACTGGAGGATATGTTGTATATTGTATGCCAAATTTGAGAAAAAAAAAAAAAAGTTCAGATAACTTGAGACTCTTATTAGAACTTTCCAATGTTCGTGATTTGGATTGCTAGTGTATCAACTTAGCTTGTTTACTATACATGCTAGGTGAGATATTGTACAATTAGTTAAGTACTTTACAAAATGGGAACCAAAAGATTTTTCAATTCTTGTCCCTTTATTACGTCTAGGTTATAAGAGTTCTCAATCATAAGTATAGCCATTTGTTTCTTTTCACCTTATAGATCTTTATCTACTGGTGTTTTATGAGATGATCTTTTTCTTACAATGGTAGATATTATCAAAAAATGCGGAATTATTTGAGTTTATTTTAGTTCCTTTGGTCATCAAAAAAATGTCCGATTTGTGAAATATGAAACAATAAGTACTATTGTTTAGTGCATACCAAATAAATATGCAATACATCAACTTTAGGCCAATAACGACTTAGGAGACAGAACTTTCACTTTTGTCATTCATTTTCATACTTTCAAATATTTATAAGAGAAATCTTATTATCCTAATTCGTAAAGAGTAATATCATTATCTTTAAGTAGAATTTATTTGAGATGTAATTTGTAGTTAGTATTGCCTACGGACATAAGTTTTATGTTAATCCTTAACTGATCAAAAAATCATTAATAATTTCTTTAAGTGTTTGATTCTTTCCTTCATCAATGCCACTTTGAGATTTATTTTTAAAAATAACAAGTCAAGAATACATGTTCCATGTAGTGTACAAATAAATTAAACGTGAGCGATAAATTAGTATTTAAAATATGATATAAAAAAACTCAAAAATCTATATCCGATCAAAATGAACATATAGAAATGGGTTAAAATAATCAAATTCATTAAATATCTAATGAGATTATTCCGTTACGGGTCGGTATTACACAAGGAGATACGAGAAAACACAATTACAAAGAAGAGAAAATTCTAGAAGGAGTAATACACACTGATTGGAAGTGGCGCACAACATAATACATAAATATATACAACCCTAATCACAATCCGACCGCTCACATCTGATCCCTAAATCCAACGGCTGAGATTTGCTCTTGTTTAAAATTGGCTTCTTGGATTGGGCCATAATCTGGGCCAAAGTGTTAAAATTAGGTTGAAAAAAATACATGGCCACTTGTAACAAATCATGAGTCAAACCTAACAAAAATTTTAATTTGAAATAGAAAAATAAAAAACATACATAATATTCTCTTTAAT